CCAAAAAAAAAAAAAAAAAAAAAAAAAAAGAAAAAAAAAAAAAAAACGGAGAAAAGCTGCACAAACCCCTCCTCCCCCACCCCCCCCCCCCCCCCAAAACAGTTTAAACGTTGGGGGGGGAGGCAGGGGGCCCCCACACCCTCCAAACTCCAACTGGGTTATACTGGGAGCAACTGGGAAGGGGTTATTTCAGATAAAGACCAGAAGAAGGAGAAACCTCCCCAAAACGCACCTGGATCATCACAGACCCCACAAGAAACTGGTTTATTGAGGCACGTGGGGCCCATAACACCCCCAGAGGGACCCCAAAACCAAACTGGGCCATACTGGGAGGGGGGTTACTTCAAACAAGGACAGAGACTGGGAGAACCACCCCTCAAAATGCATCTGCAGCATCCCAGAACTCCCCCAAAATCCACCTGGAGCACCACAGAACCCTCCAAAACTCCATTTATCCAGGCAGGGTGGGGTCCCCCACACCCTCCAATCCCCAACTGGGTTGTACTGGGAGCAACTGGGAGGGGGATTATTTCAAATAAAGACAGAGGCAGACACTGGAAGGAGAACACCCCCCCAAAATGCATCTGCAGCATCACAGACCCCCCCAAAAACCCATTTATCCAGGCACAGTGGGGTGTCTATTGCACCCTCAGACTCTGGCTCCCAAAGCCCAACTGGGCCATACTGGGAGCAACTGGGAGGGGGGTTATTTCAAAAAGACAGAGACTGGGAGAAACACCCCCCCAAATGCATCTGCAGCATCCCAGAACACCCCAAAATCCACATGGAGCATCACAGAACCCCCCAAAACCCCATTTATCCAGGCAGGATGGGGTCTCCCACAGCCTCCAAATCCCAACTGGGTTGTACTGGGAGCAACTGGAAGGGGGAGTATTTCAAATAAAGACAGAGAGGCAGGAGGAGAAAACCCCCCAAAATCCACCCAGAGCATCACAGACTCCCCCAAAAAACAGTTTATCCGGACACAGGGGGGTGTCTATTGCACCCCCCAAGAGACTCTGGATCCCAAAGCCCAACTGGGCCATACTGGAAGCAACTGGGAGGGACACGCTGCAAATAAACACAGAGAGGTAGCCACTTGGAGGAGAAACCCCCCCAAAATCCACCTGGAGCATCACAAAACCCCCCAAAAACCCATCTCTCCAGGCAGAGGTAGGGTCCCCCACTCCCTCCAAACCCCAACTGGGTTGTACTGGGAGCAACTGGGAGGGTGGTTTGTTTTTTTTTTTTTTTTTTTTTTTTTTTTTTTTTTTTCCAAATAAAGACGGAGACGGCAGATCCATTCACCAAAATATCCTCCAGTTTCTATTCACAAGGAAAAGCTCCAGTCCATCTTTTTATTAATTTCTTTTTTTTGAAAAATTTTCCTGACGTTACAGAACTAAACTGAAATGTGTTTGTTTTTTTTTTTTTT